TTCCCAACCTGCTTTTCCACTGTGTTAATTTAATTCTGAAAGGGAGCCGCACCAGGGACTTGTGGGATATCAGGTGCTGGACTCGTGTGAGAGGAGTGTGTAGCAGGGATGGGACGATATGAGCGTTTACTCTCATATATCAGAGAGCAAAATTAACACCGCATTCCTTTTTATCGCAATATTGTAGGACGGAATGAAGCTAAATAGGGCCTGATCGATTATGAACATTTAGAGGCTGATACCAATACCAATTATAAGGGGGTAAAAATTCAAATCACTGATAATATTGATATAATTTTATATTTTGATATAATTTTTCACCTTTCTGAAATAACTCTCAATCTTAACATAAATACTGGGTTGAAGCTCCCAAGCATTCTTTGCTGTTGTGGATTCAGGAGTTTTTCATGTTATTCTCTTGGTAAAGGTGAGGTTTGGATACTTTTGACATTTTTTTTTTGTTTGACATTGTTTTGATCTTCCCCTATTCATACAAGGTTTTATCCTGACTTAATCCGTATCGGCTGATGTTATCAGACAACTGATATGTCGGCCAGACTTTAATGATGAGAATTTATTTACTACTACTGTTTTCATTTTTAAAAATGGTTTTAGTTACGTAGAGATGTGCATTCTGAACTAATTTTGATGTTCAAGTATCTGAGTTCATGAGTGCATATCCAATTAACCACAGATAAGGAACGAAGCCGAACATAATGTAGAACTGAATGCTAACGTTTTAGGCGTCAGCGCTGGTGTTGCAAAAAAAAAAATATAGCAGCACGCAGAAGAGCATGTTTTATCATTAAAAAAACAGCTGACGGAAAAATGGGTGTGTGCCAACATGTCATATTAATGTATGTACATTGTTAGCTAACATCAGCTAGAGTAGTTAGCCTAGTTAGTGTTACAGCTGTTCTATCTCTGCCTTCTCAGTCACGTCTGTGGCAGGGTACTCACAGCCAATTTTAGAGCAGCAGATTGTGACATAACATCGCAAACCAACGTTTCGCTGAATTGTTAGTCTGTCTTTCGATGTTGAAGCCTACGTGCCCTAACTGTTTGCCTGCGTGCTGTCAATCAAATTCTGTACTGGCTATGTGTGATAAATTGATTCACAAATGACTGGCGCTTTTGTGCCCTGGTATATGTGCATAATTCTGATTTTAATGTTTGTATATGCTCTTCACCTCTTGTAAATGCATTTTGTTCTAGTGTATGATGGGTTATTTTCACATTTTGTGAGTTAGGACTAGCACAAAGGCTAGCACAGCCTTCCTCCGTGACGTGTGAACCACTGCATCTTTTCGAACTGCACTGGACAGCCAAGCGAGCTTGGAGGAAAGTGCCAACCGCCAGATCTGTTACGTCAGCTAACAGACGCCTGCACTGACTAGCATCGCATTTTTGAGTGATGGGGGCCATCCTACCCACCCAGAGAGCCAGGGCCAATTGCGCTCTCTAGTACTCCCAGCCACGGACAGCTGTAGCATCACCAGGGATCGAACTCCCTCCTGATGACTGGGCCAATGCTTAGATGGTTGTGCCACTCGGGAGAATTTCATGGTTCGAATACTGGCACCTCAAATGGCTAACAGAGTACTTGAGTACTCGTCCCTGCTGTGATGGTCAGATGAGAGAAGGAAAAGAAGTAAAAGAAAGTTGCTTGTTGTTGTCGTATGTGAGTAGCCCTTGGCCTGTGTGTGTGTGTGTGTGTCTGTGTGTTGAGGTGTATCTGCCTGTTTCAGCTCTCTGCATCTCGATCTCCTTCAGACAGCCGTGATAACGTCCTCTCTTTACCTTCAGGAATAAAACACACACACCCCTCTCAGACAGATGAATATCTACACACACACACACACACACACACGTGCTCAGCCGCCAGCGAGATGCAGATCACAGATCCATACATACACTCTCCACACACACACACACAGGAATATGTATCTGAGATGAGGCCGATAAGTGAGAATGGGATATGCACACTATTGTACTCAGGAGGAGGATCTGGACTGGCCTGGCTGGAATGCTGGGACAGTACCAGGTGATAAAGCGATTGAAATTCCTTTGCAAGCATGTTTCCTGAAGCTGCGTTGTTAACGACGTGTCGCAGAAATTGCACGTCTTTATCACTAACACGATAAAATAAGTTGCTCTAGCTGATGTTAGTTAAGTCCAGAAACAGTGAAAATGTGTTTTACACAAGCTTCCACTACTTAGCTACATTAGCCTCATAGCTAAAGAACCAAACTTGAGACACCAAACATGTTCTGGCTGATTGAATCCATTTAAGGGGGAAAACTAAATGAGACTTTTTTTGCCAAACTATGGCTTTAAGGTTGAGGTTTTGCTTTGCACCTTCCTGTGTGAACAGCCTCTACCAGAGCCGCGCCAGCGGAGAGCGAAGGCTACATGCATTCGTTTCAGAGGAGCTGGCAGGGAGATGGGCAAGCGTGCGTGGTTTTTGGTGCTGAAAAAGCGCCTCTGATCACACGTTATCCTGCCTCCAGATTTCAGCCGCCGCACCGTCCCGCAACACACACATCCCGCTGAAAAGAGAGAGAGAGAGAGAGAGAGAGAGAATTGCACGTGCCCTGTATCAACACAGCGAGCGCCCCAGCAAATCCGTGATATGCTGTCAGCAAGCCGAGAAAATGCCCCCAAGGACAGAAAAAGACTAAATGTGTCTTTTGGGTAGTGGGGGGGTGTTGGGACCTTCCCCAACTGTTCATGTCCCCTATCAGAGCGCACAGAGAAAGCCTTCCTCCCTCTGGCCTTTTCACAGGGGCTTTTTGCAGGCTATTAGGCCCAAACTGTGGAATTGGTTTCTGCTTTATGTGTGCTTGGCACATGATTTGCCTCGGGATCAAACAGCCTCCTTTTCCCTCCGAAATCGGTCCAAATGACATTACACACAGAGTTAAAGGGCCTGTAATCATGGAAAAACCCTGTTCTGTCTGGAAATGGGTTTGGTATTCAAAAATCAAAATGTATCACTCGCTCCCCCGTGCTGTACAGTCCATATGTGGAAGCTTTAAACCATTTTGGATTCACCATGGTTGTGATGTTGC